AATAATTTATAGAAATTTCTTATATTAAAGATATATAATGTCTAAATATAGGTTAACGAATTCAATTATCAAAGAGGATTATTTTATAATATCATTACTCTGAAATTAATTCAACTAAAAGACACATAAATATTAATATACTTTGTAATCTAACTCATTTTCACATTAATCGTTAAAATCAGAGATGACTCTGCAAAGTAATACGCATAATAAATCGAACTATAAAAAGAGTGATGAAGTTTCTCACATTGCAATTATTGGGAATTTGATTAAAAATCAGATAATCTATTCATTGCTATTACATTCAGCTTAGAATAGTATTAGATTCTTCTCTGATAGCCAAATATAAGCAAATTTAAACATAAAATGTATTTAATGCATTTTTTGAAGTAGCTTATTAACATACTTCATGAATTTTAAGAACAAGTTAAAGAAAAGTAGTACACTGCCATACAATAAATTACCAGATTTTATAAATTTTACTTAGTAATATATAGTAAAATTGAAGATCTTTAGATTGCATAAAAGTTTATAAGTTTCAATAAAAGTCATCTAATTTTTTTTATTTAATAGCTGATCAATTATAGTTTTTAGATATTAAAATAAAAAAAGAAATTTTTTAGAACATGAAAAAATTTTCTCATATTGAAGTATAAGCAACAATTTTTTTATATAATTTTTGCGTTTTTATATATAAAATTGTGTTGTATATTATTTTACAAATGAATAATTTTTCAGTATTTTATAAATAGAGTATTTTTGAATTATATTTTTAAAATTATAATTGATTGGTTATTAAATAAAAAAATTTAGAGTGAAATTTATTAAAAATTCATAAACTTTTATAAATCTAAAGATCTTCAATTTTATTATATATTACTAAGTAAAATTTATAAAATTCAGTAATTTATTGTAGGGCAGTGTATAACGGATACCTATAGGACTTAGAAAAAATCCTAAGGTCAGAAACTCCAACGTATAGAATCAGCTGCCGCAGCCTTTCAACTTAGACGTTAAGATAAATGAAAATGAATCTAGTGACAATATATAATAAAGAATTTTTTTATTATTTTTTTATTAATTTTTATAGATTTATATATATGATAATCTAAAATAAATAATAAAGTTATTAATATTAATTGTATATTAAACTAAATCATAAAAACTAAAGTTTTATTATAATTTATAAGCTAAACTTTTTTATGTTTGATAATATACTGTCATTTTAATTATATTGTAATTTGCTATTATACTTTATAGCATTTGTGATATATAAAACTTGTAATATTTAATATATAATATTTGTATATTTTAAAAATTTCTATATTATTAATATATGTAAATATAATATGTTAAATTTGAATATTATATTTATGCAGTATATTTTAAAAAAAATTATTTTTACTAATATTAAAAAACTTGAATTCTATTTTTATATTTATGATAATAAAAAAAATTTAAAATATTAGATTGAAAAAAACTAAAAAATTAGATTTAATAAATCTATTATTATAAGAATTTTACAAAATAATTTATCATTGAAATTATTAATTCAAAAGTAAAAAGATATTAATATATTTCTATTCTAAAATTTGAATTAGCATTTAAAAAAATTTGTATTATATTATTAACATAAAATTATATTAAATAATTTTATATTAATTTGAAATAGTTAAACTGCTTGTTAATGGATTGGAAATTTTAAGAATACATTGTTTTTTCTTCTGATTAAATTTTATAAATTTAAAAATTAAAATAAAATTTATCAAGAAAGCTTTATAGAAAAATAGAATTTGCTAAAAATATTACTATTATTAAAATTCTACAAATTATTTACTTAAAAGAATATAAGATTAGACTTTTTAATTAATTAAAATTTGATTAAACACTAGTTATAAAATATTTTTCTAGACATAAAAAATAAAGATCATATTTTTGCTACTTTATATACAAATGTGCAAATACTAATAGATTATATAAATTAAAAATCTTTGATTATTGAAAATCTTAATATTCAAAAATATTAATATATATAACTTATTAATGATTTATTGAAATAATATCAAGGTTTAGATAGTATTGACTTTTTTTTAGAAATGGCTTTAAAAAATTTTTTATTTATAAATATTAAGAAAATATAAAGGTTAGTATGCATTATTATTTTTTGATATTCTATTCAAACTTAAGATAAAATTATAGCTAATATGATTCCTAATTACTGAAATCATACTAAACTTATTTCTGCTAGTGAAAATGTCAAAGATTTAAAAGAAAATGAATTACAATTTGAAGAACTTACTAATGCAATTAAAGATTTTAATTTTTCAATGATATACAAGCAAAGAGTTTCTATCCCTTTATGAAGAGAATAAAGTTTTGGATGATGATAATATATTATAAAACTTATATACATATTTAAAAATAAGTTGATGATTAGATGATGATAGTGTTAAAATAGAAATCGTTAATATAAACTCTGCATAAAAAGTTTAGAAAATATTTGTGTATTTTTACTTCAACTAGAAGGTGCTATGAATATTAAAAATCTGTAAATATAAATAAATATATTAAATATATTGCACAGGATTGTAAAAGACTTATTAAATATTACATTTGCTCTTAATGCACACCTCTCTAAATGCACTCATATATCCGGGATGCATTTAGAGAGCTTTGACTGTAATTATTATTTTTCTTTAGTTGATAGCGTTTACAGTATATTATCCATTATTTTAAATTAATAAAGATGAATTTATTAACAATTGTATTGAAGTATAAAATATAGACATGATATGGAAAATTAGTATTGCGAAACAAGTTTGCTTGTCTCCAAAGATCATAAAACTAGTAAATGCAAAAATATTTGAGAAAAATGTTGTTGTTCGACCTGGGCATCTAAAAAGAAAGTGGACTATTTTTTCTATATGAAATTATGTTGATTAGTAACATCTGCGATCAGAATAAAACGCGTAAAAAAAGTGCGATTTTCTTTCTCTCTTATATAAATGCGTAAAAGGTAGATTCACAGAGCACATGTCCTCCTATGTTAAAAACCTCGAATACCTTAAGGAAAATATCAAAAAGTCGAAAAGTGACAATTTAACATTATCATTTTGAGTTGGCATGTTGACACTTAAGTACTTGGTTGGGTGAAATGTTGGGGCACATCCTCCATTAAGCGTCAAGATACCACTGGTTTCTATGGATGCGATTGAACTGGTATGTCCGGCTTGGTTGTTAATGGTGGTTATCACATTGTTTAAATTCTTGACGCAAAGATTCTTCCAACACTTATGATACTATTATTATGCATTAATAAGTTAAATAAAATATTTCTAGATTGAGTATGAAAAAACGAGGTAAGGAGGCAAATTCCTTTACTTTTATTATTTATTTATAGCATTACTACTAATCTTCATGTGTCATATTAATTGTATAATTACTAGGCTATAGCTAACTAATTAGGTAATCAACCCAAATTACAGATTTTTGGTTATCAAAATTTTATTGGTTAGCTCGAATAGATCATCCTTGAATTTTTTTTTTTTTTTACGAAACCATCATGTTCCAACTTATTAGAAATCGACATTCAGGTACTTCATACTTAATATATTCGATTTGATAGGTAATTTTCAAATAAAAAAAAAAAAAAAGGAAATATTTTTCTAGGGAATAATATATTGAGAATCTTTTCACATACAACAAGAGGAAAAGATAGATATATTACAAGTAGTTCTACGGCGCAAGTTTTACCAGATAATTTAAATTCCAATCGATTAGATGCCGCAAATGAAGATGATGAGTTAATAAGTCAGCAATCTGAACGGGACGAATTTGAAACTTCATCACCCGAAGCTTCATCACCCGAATCTTCATCACCTGATGAATGGAAGTTCTTATTTGAGACTGTGATCGAAGAAGAGAAGAAAGAACGCGAACGTCATCCATCATCTTTTGATAATCATGATAGGTATGATAGGTATTCACCACCACCTAGAAAACGACAGTCATCAAGAGAGGAAATTTATCGAGAGAGTCAAAAAAGATTTATACCTTTTGAAAAAAATGAGGGCGCTTTCCATAGAATCTTTCGTACCCTCCTTGATAGTAAAAATTATGAACGTTGGAAAGATTCGAGATTAGACACGATGAATGAAGAATCAAAGTCATCAACAATTGAACAATATTTGTATGATTTAATGCGACGAGGTGAAAAACAACAACCGGTGAGCGAACAACAAGGGATTCAATTAGAACGAGAGGATGATGTACCAAATGAGTCGATGAAAGAAGCATCATCATTATCAAATGTATTTAATGAACCGGAGAATGAAGCAATAGAAATCAAAAATGAATTATTAAAATGCGAAACAAAAATACGATTTCAAGAGATCATTTCTAAAAATATTTTTGGAGTTGATCATGAGAATTCTATTAAATCAAAGCGCGTAGTTGATGATTTCAATAGACCATTTCCCTTTAGATATGAAATGTTATTAAATCAATCAATTTTATTGTGTAATATTAAATTTAAAGATCCTCATTTAGCTTTATCAATATTTGAACAAACAAAAAGAAGGGGATTATTATCTTATGTATTGGGTTGTTCTACAAGAGTATATAATCAAATATTATTAATTAGATGGGAATTTTGGAAAGATATAAAGGGAATCGAAAGGTTATTGGATGAAATGAAATATAATGGAGTTTCATTTAATGATGAGACTTTTAAGATTATTTCTGATATTAGTTTAGAAGTTGCTTCATATACTAACTCGGAGAAATGGGATTTATTTGATATAGAAGCTTACAAAAACGTCTTAAAATTATTTAAAATAAATGAAGGAAAACTTTAAATTTGATCAATTTATTGACAAATATTAATAAAGTTTCACCAGTAAAAAAATGTTGATCAGTTACACAAATTGATAAAAAAAATCGATATAAAGTTCCGAGAATTTTTTTTTTTTTCTCGTTTTTGACAATTTCTTTAATTATTTATGGCAGCAACAAATCAACATCCTTTTCTTTCAAATGTACCTTTTAAAGACGAAACTCCCTTACCAGAAGATATACCAAGAGTAGATGACGTTGGAACGACTTCTGCTCCTTTAAAATCTGCTGCTTTTTTTATTGGTGCTTATTGTAAAGACTTTAATGATGATTATATGCTTTGCAAAAATGAAAATAATGATCCAAAACATTGCTTAAAAGAAGGTAGAAAAGTTACAAGGTGTACTATCGAGCTGTAAGTATATATATGTATAAACACACACATACACACACATATATATATATGCAGTTTTTGAGAAAGTTTCTTATAATTTTCATTTAGGCTTCGTAAGTTACGTGAAAATTGTGATAAAGAATTTGAAGCTCATTGGCAGTGTTTGGATAAAAATAATCAGGAATATTATCAATGTAGACCACAAGAAAAGACATTTAATACTTGTGTATTTAACGCGTTGGTAATTATCTCTTTTCTAAATTAAAAAAAAAAAAAAAAACTCTTTTAACACTTTATATTTTTAGAATTTAGAAAAAGTTATTCCTGGGACCCCTCAGGGAAAACCTCCAATTCATCTTAAAGAAAGTCCTATTTTTAAACCAAGTTAAGAAAAATAATTGGCAATGAAAGTTTATAATTATTGTCAATTGTATAATAACTTTGTATTATGAAAAAAAAGAAATTATAAAAATGAGATTTTTCACGTCAAAAAAAAAAACAAAAAAATTTTGAACATTTTTAAATTTTTTATTTTTTTTTAAAAAACGAATTATCTACTAAAAAAAAAAAAAATCAAATATATTGTGTATATATATAATTAATCTTTTAAGGAGACTAAATAAAAAGTTTGAAATAATAATAATAATAATAATAATAAAAAAAGATTTTTATACAAAAGAAACTATAAACAAAAGGTATCAATGTTGAATAAATAAAAAAAAAAAACTTACAAGAAAACTAATTATTTTTCTCATTCCCCACCAAATGAATTTTTTACTATTTGTTATGTTAATTAAGATAAATAATATTTTTTACCCAAAATAATTTACTACTACCCATGTATTTTTGTATATAGACATTTTTGAGTATGCAAAGAATGTACAGAGTGACACAAAAGTAATATATATATATATATATACATATATTTTGTCAAGGAATAAATATATGCTTAAATTGTTTAAATGACTGTACGAAAGGTGTTTTCCAAGCATTTTAATCCACGATCAAAATAAATTCAAATTTCATTTTTGGTGTTTATATGCTGCGAAAATGTTTTTCTTCAGTTTATGTACTTGAAGTCCATTAGGTTTTTGATAATATCGGAAATCTACAAATAAGCCAACACCTTTAAACGTCTTTGTTTACACACCGAAAGAAGAATTCAGTATCCTAAAAAAAACCACAACAAAACTTTGCCCACCGCTAATCTCAACGAGTAATTTTTATTGCCCGCGTGTATCATTAAATTAATACTTTCCACCACCACCACCAACACTTTCATTAACGTTCCTCTCACCTTCCGCATCACCACCTTGTCGTCTTAACGGGTAATTACCTTCAAAACCCGCGGCCCGTGGCGAAGATTTTTCATTACTGCCACTACTCAAATTGGGTTTTACACCATTGTTCTTACTACTATTATTACCTCCGTTACCGTCTGAACTAGAGGTCATACCAAAGGTTCCTCGGTTTTGTGAATTCGATGCGGAATGAGAATATGGATGTTCATAAGATTGCTTAGGTGTTTGTGATTGTGGTGAATTTATTTGCTGCGAGCTAGGAGTAGTAGTATGTAATGGTGGAGCGGACGTGACTGAATGATATGCAGGACTACTAGAACTCGCCACAAAACGTTCGTTACGATCGCTTAATGTCAATGGAACTAACGAAGGTAGAGTTACTGTCGTACGAGTTGCCGTTGGGATTATTGGCATGCCTGAATAGGATGATGACGCTTGTGATGATGATGTTGAACTAGGATTTGTAGCTGGTGTAGCACTCGGGTTACTGGTGGATGCTAAAGGTTCACCCGAAAATGTAGAACGACGTTCGTATGGATTATTGTAATCAATATTATGCCTTGACTTTTCTGTTGATGAAGGGGTCATTGGTGTAGAGGTTGGTGGCAACATTAGAGCAGTACGTGCTGTATCACCTTGTTGGGAATGTGATGATTGTGACACTGGTGGTGATTTAATGGCAGCACTACTACTAGGAGTGCCATATGGCGATACGACATCACGTGGTGGATACCCTACATCGTATGGGGGTCTGCCATAAAGATCATGTCTCATATATTCATGTGGTCGAGCTGGATGAGGATAAATATGAGCAAATGCGGAAGGAGGAGCACCATACATTCTTGATGGATGGGGAGCGGGTGGTGCAGTAGCACTGTGTTCGGTATTTGGTTGAGATGATTGAGATGATGATTGTTGTTGTTGTTGTTGTTGCTGTTGTGGTTGATTCTGCTGTTGCTCGTTTGACAATAAGTTTTGGATTGGTATTTTAGATTGTGGGTTATTAGGATCACCAGAAGTATCAATTGGTGGAACTGGGGCGTATTCCGCTGTTTTCGGTGGTGGTGGAATCGGAGGATGTGCATATGGAGCATAATAATCCGAATATGGATAAATTGGATGTCCACGGGGTGGTGGAGGTGTCACGGGAGCACTTCCACGATATTGAGATGATGATGGTTCCAAGTTAGGATCCCTTGATTGTGAACGTTCGCCATAATGCGGCCAAGGCGCACGTTGAGGCGGATAAGAACCTGATGGATCATATCCGTACGGTCTGACAGATCCCGGAGAATCGCTTGGTGGATGACCAACTCTTGGGGGTGTATCATAATATCCGGGTGCGGGTTGTCCCGGATACATTGGTGGCCTACCGTAAGCTGGATATGGATAACGATGGTGATCAGAACCATCAGGTATTGGTGGGGGAGGATGTGGGTAATAATATGGATGATAGCCATATCTTCGATCATACGGATCATAATAAGGAGAGTAATGAGGATCTGTCATATAATCTGGGCGATCATGCCATGAATGAGGTCGATGTGGCGGATATCCTGGCCCTGGTCCGTACATTGGTGTGTTTGGATCATAATGTGGAATATGAGGTGGCATATGTTCGTACATTCGACGCGGGGATGATGGACTTATGCTGGTATGATCTTTACGTTTGTCATAGCTTGAATGTATTATCTCTGGACTTAATTTTGAACGTGTATCATCGGCAGTTGGAGTATGTAAATCCGCATCAGATGATTCTCCACTGTCATCATCCCTTTTACCATCAGGACGTGGACGTTTCAATCTAGAATGATCGATCAACTCTAGTTCCTTCCTATCACGTTTTGCTAACCGCCTAGATAGATGATACAGAGTTTTTAAAAAATGATGATAAAAATGATAAAATAATAAAGATGTTAGTACAAACAGCAATTAAACAATTTTTTTTTTCTTTTTTTTTTTAGGGGGGATCAAATGAAAATTTATTTTATTTTTATTTTATATTTATTTGTGAGAATCTTGATACGAGGATCAAAAAATCGCCACATATAAACCCACAAATAACCTTCGTATTCTGATTTCTTTCCTTATTCGGATTTTTAAACCTTGATCAGCAAATGATCTTGATAAAAATGTGGACTCTAGATAGTCAAAAGTCAAATTTACGAATGAGTTCGAGTTTACATGACCTGGAATGAACAATAATATTTAATGAAACTAACCTTCCATGCCGGGAAACCGTTTTGCGGAATATACAATAAAGATATCAGAAAAGATTGACTTGCAATGATAAACTTCTCTTCTATAAAATTCAAAATTCGAAATTACAAATGAAAAAATAATTATAAACTTGAAGAAGGATAGATAACTCTTAACGATATTTAAGATTTGACACGATAATAAAAAAAAAGATTTATATATAAATACCCAATTATTTCAAAAAGACTGAGTTTAAGTCGGTAAGTTCCTTCCATACGCACAGAAAGGTCGGGAAATACGAAAAATCCGGCATCCGAATTATCAATATCTTTAAGATGATATAAAGAAGATACGACTGAACCTGTTGTAGAACGAGTTTTTCCGTCTCTCAATAAATGTAATTCTTCATCAGTATCAGGTGCCACCAGGGATGCATACATGAAGAAGTATGGATTCTGAAGAAAGGAACTAAAACATCAAGGAGTATTAAAACTTTTGACTTGGCGCAGGATGATCACGAGAAAATCATGTGATATACAGATATATACATTACCTTTTTTCGGATTGTGGTAAGCTGGCATCATACACTTTGAGTTGTATTATTGGTGGAGGATCAATTGGACGTCTATCAGCTGTTGAATGAATTAACATATATAAATTACGAATTTGTTTTTTTTTTAAATTATGGATAGCATTGTCGTCGGACAAGTGATCATTGGCCAATTATGAAATTTTCAACTCCCACTTAAATAGAAACTAAATAAAGACTATATCAATTAAAAAAATTCGGAATTACTGTATATTATTTAAAAATTAAAAAGGCGAGTACTTCATTATAATTTTTTTTTTTTTGGTGAATGATATTTAATTTTTTTCACCATATTGAGAGACAAAAGAGCAAAATCTAATGGTGATCATCCCAATCCATTCAAATTTGGTAAGAATCCAGGTTTCATATCTTACCTTTCTCACCTATGCCACACATCCTCGATTGTTTTGGTTGTTGCCTCAAAATAAGTTCATATTGTCTAAACATCAGACAGAATAATATACTTAATAAAAAATTTAGAACACAAAAAAACCACGTGAAATCGCAAAGCGAAGGGATGGAAATTATATTTATGGTTCTAAATGGTTACCGACACTCCAAGGAAAATTCTTAAAATAACTTACATCTCTTGTCGCTCATCTCTACGCTGTCGTACTTTAGTGAATTGATAGGACACAATATCTTCCATTTTGGTTCAACTTGTGAAAAAGGGACAATGCTTTTGAATTTTAAAGAGGATAGCAAATAAGAAAAAAAAAAAAAAAAAAGTTTTTCAGAAATAAAGAAGCGCGAGATAAAAGAGTCAGTTTATTTAATATCAAAGCAAGAACCAAAAGTATAATAGATAACATAGATAAGTGGTTAAAAAGAAGGAAACCAAACGGGCAAATTATTTGAACGAGTGTAATAATTTACAGAGCAAATAACGCAACTTATGAAAAAAAAAAAAATGGTTCGAACCTTTGTTCGTGAAGAAAAAAAAAGATATAATTCAAATGAATCTTTGATTAATTTTCACTTTTTTTTTTTTTTTTTTTGGGGTGGAAACAAATAGTGGTAACGGGAGATAAAATAAGACGCCTATATATACAGAAAATACTTTTTCGGATTAGGTATGTAATATACTTTATGGCTGATTTCAAGGTAAAATTTAAATGTGGACAAACCAGGGAACAGGAAGCTAATCCGAAAAATAATTAAAGTGTTATTTATACACTTATATAACTAATTTATATACAACTGGTTACTACAAATTTTGTTTGGTTGAAACAAAAGTACAAAGAAAAGAATAATTATAAAAATTTTGGTATATTTATAATTTTGACTTTTTTTTTTATACAATAAATAAAATAAAATTCGTTCATCTTAACTAAATATAACATTATAAAAATATTCTCACTGATATCAACCCCTTATTTGGTACAGGTTGTTTGGGAAAGAATGTTCACCAAAAAATGGCAAAAAGTCGTACAATTTTCAAAGCCCACATCTCTTTTAAAAAAAAGGTAGATACACCAAATACCTGTTTATATAACCATGAAAACTTAAAAGCGAAACAAAGAATCTGATCTAAAAGGGAGGGTCCCTTTTTGTTTGGAGTCACCTTCCCAAATATGCGGTGATGGTTATACTTCCGATATATTCCATATGATGTCCTTGGATCTTGTATAAAATTGGAAATTTAGAAAAAAAACTTAAAATGGCTTAATTCTTTGAACCGAATAAAGTTATAATTTATGCGTAAGTATCGAAAAAAAGTAGGAAAAATTTTTTTTTTTTTTTTTTTTTTTTTTTTGCCAATTATAATCGAAAGAGACATGAACAAAACAATCATGAATCGAACTTTAGATCGTCTATCGCTTCCTTAAAAAATCCAGAAAGTTGGAATTAACCTGTTGGCGACATGAGGTTTCATTATGATTTCAACATTAGGGACCAATTCCTTATCTTTATTTATGATAAAGAACCCATATAAAAGCTCGTTATACAAATGAACATTTGGTGGTGGTGCATAATTATTTATTTTATTTTATTTTATTTTATGATTTTTAAAGTACGTTATCCTTTTCACAGTATACAATAGACCAAATACCTCGAAATTGGCAAAACATTCTGACAATGAGACCAAAAAAATAGTGACATTTCGAGAACCTGATACCGACTACAAGGATGTGAAATTAGTATTTGTATGGGAAAATTAAAATCAAAGCGAGGAACTTTTTTTTTTTTTAGAATCATGCAGATTTCTTGTTTATTACTAAAGAGGCAAAAGCAAGAGGTGTGTGACCAACTTTCAAACCTGTTAAAGTTTAGCGGGAGCGGACCGATTCGGAAAACTTTTTTTATTTAATTGTCCATAAATGTGAGTGATTGAACTGTTTACCCAAAATAAAAAAAAAAAACTTTTTGGGGGAAAATTCACTTGCATCTCTTTTGGTCTGCGGAAAACGAAAAAAGAAAGGTTTTCCCCTGAAAATTTTTCGGAATTCCTGCGGTTAGGAATGTTGTGAGAGGGCTTGAAAAAAAAAAAAAAAAGGATTTTGTGTTTCTTGTGCGCCCATAACCTGGAATACAAAAGAACAAAACAATGACTGTTTAGTGGTTCTGGTTAATCCAACTTTAATATGATCCTTCCAAACACCTGTTATTTCTTATCTTTATGGTTATACTATAGACGTAATCGTACATAAATCGCACTAATTGGCTTCTCAATAACATTTGATGATGATCAAAAATCCAGATAATTGTGTTTTAACCTTAACCGAAAAAAAGAACATAATTCCATTTATTTTACAGCAGGTTACATAATATCGTGTGACCATCTAGGAATTTCCGAATTTGATTAAAAAAAATCCGATGATCAACAGTAAAGATAAAAACCCGGTTTGCGTCCGATATTTTTATATCTATTTTGAGAATTCGCCGTCTCGAATTAAGGTCGCACCATCATACTATTTGCAACTTGCAGAATATTAAATATGAATCCATCCGAAAAATGCAATTAATTAAATATTAATGTAGTCCAAAACATAAATTCGATTGTAATGTGATGATAAATAATAAACAATTCTCTGCGCCAAGTCATGAAAATTTGGTATTGATTAATCTAAATTAGAACGAAATGTGTAACTTTGGTTGATGATGCCTTCTTCCATGCATAGATTTTATAAACAAAATAAAGTTCAAAACAAAAAATGAACCCTAGATTAGGCAAGAGACGCGACTTTGTTCTCAGATTCGATCATTCATTGGTTCGTTCTCGATTCATGTTTCACGTGACGTTGATAGATTTGTGAAATAGGTTCATTGACAGTTATAATTATGCAAAGAACTTTACTTTAATTGGAATACAAGCTCTTTACTCACAATATGTAATCATGTAGTACTTTGACCAATATAACAATGGTATATCTCAAAATAAATAAATAAATAAATAAAAAAATTCGAACTGGTATTTAAACACGTGCTCAATCTCTTACAAAAGAAGCTCAAAACATGAAAAAAACTTTAACAGAAAAAAACCAAATAGATTTTATTATTTTTTAATCTTTATTTAGTACAACCAAACCATTGAATGGTTGTATTCCTATTTTGCTATGTTTTGATATACATTCATCATTTTTTCACAATCTCTTTTTACAATGGTTTCGGCAACTGAGCGTAGACTTGAAAACTCAGAATATAAAAAGAATTTTTATGTAGAATTAGCTAAAGTTCGAATTTTTTGGTTGATCCAGTAGAGAATGTAAAGAATGGTAATTACCAATCACGTATCGACTCGATTTTAGAGGCTAAATTATACAATTATAATATCATTGGCTGCTGATTTAATTGACCACGTGACGGACCGATCCGATCCCAACCTTCAGATTGGACCGAGATCGGTCATATGATCGGATCGCGATCCAAACCGTCTATCGTTAACATCCCTAATTTCGTGACGTTTTGAATAAAAAAAGAAAAAAACTCTGAAAATTTAAAAAGAAAATGGCTTCGTTCGTTAAAAGTTCACGTCTTGAAAATGCTTTGGCAAATGTTATTCAGTATAGAATACGTATGTTTGCCGGTATTAAACAAAACGCAAAAATGGTAAATAATTTACATTCAATATTAAGATAAAAGACGCGCTCGTTAAGTTTTATGTTACTAATGAAAGTATCGTCTCATTATAGACGCAGCATAATATTATCATGAAATCCCTTATAAGTCAACGTCTTTATTCCACCAACTTGTCTCCTCAAGGGCCTGCTGATAAGCCGTCTTTGGGGGGTGAACGTGAAAGCGCGTCATACTTAACAAAGTCTAAAAACGATGGCTCTTCTTCATTCTTAACAAAATCTAAAAACAATGACACTTCAACCTTTGCACCTACGCCTGTGTTTGGTTCTACTAATTTATTGGATAGTCAAACAGAACAAACAACAAGCAAGGTTGTGTGTGATAATAATTTTGAACAGGACTGGTCAAAGTCATTTTTTGGTTTATCCACCAAAGCTTTTCCAAAGGAAACCGCTGATATTCTATTGGCTCCAATCGAAGTAGATGATGTTGAGTGCAAGCCTGGTAAATCAAATCATTTATTTCGATAATTTATTGACTGGTACGACGTCTTTGACCTTGATCTTAACTTTATTGGGTTTATTGGTGTAATAGATGGAATGCTTTATCTGCCCGAAATTAAGTATCGTCGCATATTGAATAAAGCATTCGGACCTGGAGGTAAAATCTTGTTGATTTATTAAAAATATGTTATCAGAATTTATACTAAATTTTCGTTTCTTATATAGGCTGGGGATTGGCTCCTCGTGGGGATCATTCTGTTAGTCCAAAGACGATTTCACGTGAATTTGCACTTATTTGCCACGGACGGTATGTCGTGTAATACTTTTCACTAAATTGATTTATCTATTTTAATGTTTATTAAAGTGTAATATATGTATATATTTCAGGCTTGTATCGGTTGCTCGTGGTGAACAAGAATATTTTGATCCTTCCGGATTAGCCACTGCTGCGGAAGGAACAAAAAGTAACGCTCTAATGAGATGCTGTAAAGATTTAGGAATCGCGTCTGAACTTTGGTAAAGATTTCATTTAAATCGCTTGTTTTTTTTTTTTTTTTTTTTTTTTTTTTAGCGAATTTAATTTGATTTAATTGCAACATTAACAAAATAACCTTTTTATCTTAGGGATCCTACTTTCATTCGTGATTTTAAAAAAAAATATTGTGAGGAATTTTTCTGTGAACATGTTAATAGCAAAAAGAAGAGAAAGATTTGGGTAAAGAAGGGTAGTGATGTCGAATATCCTTATGTAAGATCATCGGGTGGATATTGAAACATGTGTTATGGTCTAATTCGAAGATGATGACTTTTTTTCTATTGAACTTTACCGGTACTTAATCATGAAGGGTGACTTCATTTAATCAATTAATTTTTTTTTTCTCCCTGATGTTGTCTATCATATCTCTTTGCTAAGATCTTATCTTTTGGTTATTCAAGCTAAATCAGTAAAATCATTACATATTTGTAACTCAAAAAAATATTAAATTTTTATGTAACCATTTTATTTTATGTTCAAAAATATAAACTTAAAGATCGCCGCATTTTCTGATAGTGCTTTTACATGGTAACACAGATAGATATCTAATCATTTTTATCATTTCAATTTATATCCGAGATCTGCTTTTTTTTGAAAATCTCAAATTATGATGCTTCGTTCAAGGTCTATCGCTTTCGTAAAGTCTTTAAGCATACCTAAAGTATAATGAATTATATCTTAATAAAAAAAAAATTGTTCAGTATTTTAAATAAATTGTATATTAATGAATTATAAAATATAGCGCTCATTTGCTTCGGCGTCTCCGATCACCGAACCCTATAGTGGAAAGAAAAATGTAAACGTAAAGTGTCGCGTTTTTTTTTTTATTTTTTATTTAAAAAAAAAAATTTGCTTATCGTTCGTTAAATGCATCGACCTTAATTTGATTCTTCATATATTATATTTTTTTTTTAAAAAAAAAAAAAATTAGGGTAATTATACCGTTACACTTATACCCGGTGATGGAATTGGTCCGGAAATTTCGGAATCAGTACAACGAATATATCAAGCAGCTGGAGTAAGATATTAAGTTTTTAAGTACAGTATTACTTTTGAGATATTGGTTTACACCAAAGTTTGGAGGAATGACCTTTTTTATTCAATGATTAACTAATTCATTGAACATAAATTTTCAAATAATTTGATTTTATTGATTTTACTTATGATGATATCTTATTCAATTATTTATCAAGGTTCCAATTGAATGGGAACCAGTAAACGTCACTCCCATTTTAAAAAAAGGAAAGACAACAATTCCTGAAGAGGCTTTACAATCAGTAAGGAAGAATACCATTGCTTTGAAGGGTGAGTTAAAAAATTAGATAAATGAATTTCCGAAATCGAAAGTGATTTTTTAAAATATATATCACTTTTTAATAATTAGGTCCTTTGGCCACACCCGTTGGAAAAGGTCATGTTTCTCTTAACCTTACCCTTCGTCGTGCGTTTAATCTATTTGCAAACGTTCGACCATGTAAATCCGTTGTTGGTTATAAAACACCTTATGATGATGTAAATACGGTCTTAATTCGTGAAAATACGGAAGGGGAATACTCTGGAATCGAACATACTGTAAGAGAATATACGTGTGTGTATATATATATATATACACAATATTCATCAATTAATTTATTCATTTCATTAATATTCTAATTTTTAAGATGTTTGATCTTTATAATAGGTTATAGACGGTGTCGTTCAATCGATCAAATTGATTACCAAAGAAGCATCTGAGAGATGTGCTCACTATGCCTTTAATCATTCAAGAGACATTGGGCGAAATCGCGTTACCGCTATACACAAAGCAAATATCATGTATGGATACAAAATTTATTGATTAAAAATATCAAACTCAACATCATGCTTAAAAAAAGCCTTTCACATTTCATTTAGGAAATTATCAGATGGTCTTTTCTTGGAAGCTTGTTACAACGTGGCAAAGCATTTCCCTGATATACACTTTGATGATGTGTTATTGGATCGGGCATGTCTTCATGTAAATAAATTTAAGAGAACCTTTAAACTTTTAATTTAAACCATAATTATTCTTAAAACTTTTGAATTTTAAAAATTTTGTAGATTGTTCAAGATCCTGCTCGTTATTCGGATACAGTCATGGTTATGCCTAATTTATACGGGGACATTCTTTCGGATATGTGTGCAGGATTGATTGGGGGACTTGGATTGACTCCATCAGGAAATATAGGACGTGATGCTTCGATTTTTGAAGCTGTACACGGCACCGCGCCTGATATTGCTGGCAAAGGCAAGTGAAAATAAAGTAATCATTGAAATCAAAAGGAATTTAACGGATCAAGATTATTCACCACTTTTTAAAAAATCTTTATAGATTTAGCAAATCCCACAGCGCTCCTATTATCTTCCATTATGATGCTTCGTCATATGCACTTAAATTCTTACGCTGAATCTATTGAAAATGCTGTTTTAAAAACGATTGCCGAAGGGAAACACCTTACGCGTGATCTTGGTGGACAGGCGACGAACACAGAATTTACAAACCGAATTATTAATCATTTAGATGAGTAAACAAATGATGGTTCAAAATTTATTTATGCTTATTTAATATTAAAGTAGCATTTTATAGCATGGAACGTTTCAAGGTAAAATAAAAAAATACAAGAAAAAAATAAAATAAAAAAAAAAACCCAATAAAATAAAATAAAATAAAATTAAAGTTTCTCTTTTAATTACAAACTCGGTTGATCGTCATGCGTGCTACTAAAAAATTTAAAACATGTTAGATCAATGTTTGTATTTAGCATAATAGTCCGAAACGTCCTATTTTTCATATTTCGGACCTTTGCTTTAATGAACCGCATTGTGTTTGAAAGTCAAAAACCAAATATAAATTTATCGAAAAAAATCAATAAATTACCGGTTTTTCCGCTCATCATTTTTTGAAAAAATTAAATTAAGTAGTAAGTAGATGGCACAATCTTTCGTAAGAAATCAGCGATCATATGAAATTACACCAACAGCCAATACAATTTTTCCCTATCAAAGTAGCCATACCCAAACTTACAAAATTTTAACAAAAACGGGCCCTTCAAATCCTTTCGCATCTTATTTTCGCAAACTCTTAACAGAACTCAAAATGGTAAAAACTTCTTTTAAATTCCTTGAATATTTTTTTTTTTTTTTTTTTCCCTCAATTTTATGATTTCGATAGGGAGATCAAATTGAATGTGCCTTGGACCTTATGAGACGTCTCCCTCCACAAAATACGGAGGAAAACCTTTCAAACCTTATAACTCTTATACCAGATCATCATGAAGACTTGTTAAACAATGTTGACCAGCCACTCAAGGTCGCAAAATGTAAAACGAAAAATCGAGATTACTTACTGTCTCCTTTCAATAGGGATGGCGATTCTTATCGGTAAACTTGGTTTCTCTTCTAATATATTTACGTTTTTTAATTTTAGGCTTGAAATTTATGTGAATTACAAAAATTACAAAATTCTCTCTTACTGCGGTTTATTAACGCGCTTCTCATTGACATAGGATCATTTCTTTTTTTTCAGATCATTAACAACTATATCTTCTTGTTTGATAATGATCATCTTTTATTAGTTCTCCTTGGTCAAACGAGTATGATCCTCCCATATCTGACGGGATATTACCTTCACCCAAAACACGAAAGTTGGAAGTATCCGCCAATGATGCTTTTGATACATATCGTGATATGTATGTACTTAATCTCATTGAAAATCAATCGTATACATGTATACGTGAATATATATATTTTTCTTTACTAAATTTTTTATTGATATTCATCCTAAAAAAAAAAGGTATTATGAAGGGGGTATTTCTTCGGCGTATTTTTGGGATGAGTCGGATGGGTTTTCTGGTGCAGTTTTATTCAAGAAAGGTAAAGCTATATATATATATATATATATATCAATGTATTCTTTGATCATTAACTTTTCAGTACTAACTGATCTTTTTTTTTTTTGTTTTTAGTTGGTGATGGTGTCCGTAAGATGAAAGGAGCATGGGATTCAATCCATGTATTCAAAGCAAATGAACGTGGTCGCAGTGCACATTATAAATTAACTTCTACCGTTATGTTGTACACCATTACAAGCAAACCCGAACTTGGTCATATGAATCTTTCTGGGAGTATGACGAGACAAGTAAGGAGTTATTATGATCTCTTTTTCTTTTATTTAAATGGCAATTATTGATTATTATTTTTTTAAATTCTCTATGATTAGTTTGAAACCGATTATCCCTTTGATGAACCTTCTTCTCACATAGCAAACATTGGACGTATGGTTGAGGATATTGAACTCAAAATGCGTAACCTTCTTCAAGATGTTTATTTTGGCAAGACTAAAGATATTGTAAATGATTTGAGGTCGGTTAAATCGCTTGTCGAAACTCAAAGGCAAGCTGATATTCAAAAAGAATTACTAGGGAAGTTGATGGAACGAAAATCATAGAGGAAAATTAAAATATTGCGTTTGAACTTTTACAACGAAAAATTGTTAAGCAAAATACCCATTTTTTTTGTATCGAAAATATTTATACGTGTAAATTCAATTATTTAATAAAATATTAATTTAAGGAACTCATGATAAAAGCGCATCTTTTTTTTTTTTTTTTATTTAATTCATTTATGAGAATGCAATTGTTCTCTAAAATTGGAAATTGATTTTGTTGTGGCTATGCTACTTTTATCTAGATTTTGCTAAAGCAATGAATCAATGATTGATTTGGATTTGGTTTTCAATACAAAAAGCCCAAAAAGATCTATAATATTAATTTGAAATACTTCAATGAATTTTCTCCTAATAGTCTAACTTTTTTTTTTAAAAAAAAAAAATTCCTCTTTCGTATAATGCCAAGGTAATGTGGCATTATGCTAGAATTTTCTATCATTTAAACATTAAGGAAAAAAAAAAAAAAAAAAAAAACGAACTAAAACTTATATAACATGTCTTGAAACCTTTATTTGAATTAAGAAATACGGATGTCAACAAATTAATCTACAAATATTTAACAATATTTTGACCAGAATTATATATAAATACTAATTGAGACATAAAAAAATTAACCTGCATTATAACGAGTTTAGTCAAGAAATTAGAATAAAAAATTTTGACCAATCATAGATCACTAAACATTTTCATGCAAGTTAGCGCCACGCCCAATACTTTTAGCTAATCTCAGCTAAATTTCCTTTTCTCTTTTAACCCCATTTCACAAAAAGGCACCACAAAACGCATATAGACAATACAAACTACGAAAAAAGGCTACTGCTACCAAACTACCTGTCAATAACGATAACCCAAATAAAAGAAAAGACTTTTTTACTTCCTCATTTGAAAACAAGCCACAGAAATGAGCAATCTCAGTAACGTTCAACGAAAAATTAGTAGCGGCTCGGGAGAAACGTTACCTGAACAGATTTCACGAAGAGGAAGTAAGCGAGAACTTGAAGACGACCTAGACGATGATTCTGGTGACGACGAGAATAAGGCGGAGAAAAGAGCTGGACGTCGTAAGATAAAAATCGAATACATTGATGATAAAAGCAGGCGTCATATTACTTTTAGTAAACGAAAGGCTGGTATAATGAAAAAGGTAACCACAATTTTTTTTTTTTTTTTTTTTTTTTTTTTTTTTTTTCTTCCCTTGGAAAGGAATTGTATTATATTTTTTATTACTAGTAGTATTATTATTTTTTTATTATGATTATTATTTTCATTAATATGCGCAACTACGAAAAAGGGTTTCCGAAAAATTTTTTGTTTTTGTTATGTGGGGTATTTTACCCCCCTATTTTTTTTTTTTGTTTGTTACCACCTTTGGCGAAACTTGGCTAGACAAATATCGTAATAGGACATATGTACATCCTATTTTGTCTCGATGAATTTTTGTAAACTTTGCCCAGTTTATCAATTCGTTCTCCCACGCCTAGTACCGATCTATCCTTGTTAACTGTTAAATACTTTCTTAATCAGGCGTATGAACTTAGTACCTTGACAGGCACGCAAGTTCTTCTTCTTGTCGTATCCGAAACTGGTCTCGTTTATACTTTTACGACCCCGAAACTTCAACCTCTTGTCACAAAACCCGAGGGTAAAAATTTAATCCAAGCTTGTCTGAACGCACCTGATGGACCGACAACTCAGGAAACAACCGCGGTAAATTTCAATGCTTAAAATTTCGAAACCTTTGGGCTTAGAATTTTTTTTTAAAAATTTTTTTTTTTTTTTTTTTTTTTTTTTTGATCGTATCGATCATTTTTCTAGCAACCGCGTGCGCCTCAAAGTACCACAAGCTATGGGGGTGATAATACGGCTACGGACGGAAATAGCGATAACGTTTATGAATCCGATCGGAAGGTAAAATGATATTTTTCGTCGTCTCGTTATAATATCTAAAATATAAATAAATGGAATCTGATTAACATCATTATTCGAATCACAGCAGCATCAAGCTTCTAATAACGGACAAATACCACCCGCACAACCCTATGCTATAGGATTAAATCCATATGCAAATCAATATGGTGGTATCCCAAGCAGTATGGCAATGGGTGCCGGGGGTCTCGCCGCTCAGTCTTACATGTCTCCAGCGGCTCAATATTCTCAATACAGTCAACAACAACAGCATTTGAACCAATATGCTGCCGCTCAAAATTCTCCTTATATGCAAAGTCCTAATGCAGGTTATTGGAATCAGTCTAATACTGGAGGGAATGGGGCATCAAAAGTTCAACAATTTTCACCTCAATCTACCGAGAAGAAATGAAGTTCAAAGTTGCGCGTGATCGATCCCGAATTTTCTATTTTTTCTTTATAATTTTTTCATGTAGAATTTTGATGACAATATGCTAACATTTAAAATATTTTTTTTGCTTTTTTGTCCTGCTTTAAAGAAAAAAAGCCCCATATCAATTTTTAAGTTGAAATTTATCCTATTTGACATGGGTTAAATTAATGTTGTAATCTCTCGATAAATTCAACTATTGATTTTTTTAATGAAAACAAAAAATCTGCATTTTTTAATTTGATATGGTTAATTCATTAACGAGCGGGAGCTTTTTTTCATTTCTTTTCCTTTTTTTTTTTTTTTTTTTTTTTTTTTTTTTTTTGTATATCATTTCCCTTTCTTTCGAAGTTGAAGTCAATAACAATAACTTCGTCTGGTTGTTAATAAAATACTTTCTATCCTTTTTTTTTTAAAACCTTTGCTGGACATTCTTTTTTCAGTATACCCTCCCTCCCTTTTTTTTTTCATAAACACTTTGTAACCATTTTATTTCATTTATTATAATTATTATTATTATTCCGATATCAGTAGTTATTTTCTTTCTTTCTCTGTTATAACGAAAAAATTTTTTTTCCGAGCTAACAAAATTATTGTTTAGTTGTATAGTCATGGAAAAAAAAAAAAAAAAAAAAATTTTGAACTTTTTAAACAAGCATTTTTTTTATTATTAGAAAAAAGCGAAAGATTGATATTTTTTTTTTTTTTTGACAAATAAAATATATATATAAATATCAATTAACTTAAAATGGAGAGATCTTTGTGTTGATCTGCTTCGCTTCATACATACAAATATATTTGAACCCCCAAAAAAAGAAAAAAAATTAAAGACAAGTATTGGAATCACGTTAATCGAAATCCTATATAAAACGAGTGTAATCTAGAATTTACCGTTACACGAGCAATGCCCAAGAGTTTGTTACATTACAGCGCTGAAAATGAAATTACTTCAACTTCATTCTTTCTACTATTCATAACTTGAATTATTTCAAAATGGCTCGTAAGTATCCGAAAATTCACTCTTTTCTTTGTTTTTTTTTTTTTTTTGTTGTTTCATACCGAATTTATACAATTTTTGACAGGTGGAAATCAAAGGGAAAAGGCTCGTGAAAAGAATTTGAAAAAACAGTCTAAACAGACCAAAAAAAAAGAAGATGGAACTGCTTTTAAAAAACGAGCCGAAAGGTACGTTGTAATTATTAGTCCTTCTTTCTCTTTACCTTTTTTTCTTTTACCATTAAATATTCGTAAAGGAAATTATGTATAAAACAGTACTATTTTCAAGTCTCGTTTTCTAAATCAAAAAAAATTATTTTTGTATGTTTTAATTTGAAAGAAAATTTTGTTTTTGAGTTGATACTAAGTTTTGTTTTATTTTATTTTATTTTTTTCTTTATAATTATGTTTTTCTTGTTTTTATTGTTTAACTTGACCTTGAAATTAATTTTTGTGGATTTAAAAAATGTACATGCATACATTTTTTTCTATTCGAAATCGTATTATCATCAGTGATGCTGAAATTATGAGGCAAAAGCAACAAGTGAGTTGAAATCAGATGATTATTTTGTTCCTTTTATGAGGTTTATTGAAATTTTTTTTTTAATTTACAGAAAGCTTTGGAAAAAAAATCCACGGACACTGTTCAAGTTGATAACAAATGATTCAAGAGGTAAACAAACAAATGTTGATTTTATTTTATTCATTAAATTTTGTTTTTATTTATTTATTTATCTTATTACAATCTTATTTCCTATAAAAAAAGGATTTCTTTTTTTTTCTCGTTTTTGTTAACGATGTTGAATATGAATTTTTTCTTTTGATAAATATTTATAACATCAGCATATCATAACATAAAAGAAAAAAAATATTCAACGAAAAAAAAAAAAAAATCAGATTTGTTGGTTTCGTGGTTAAATAAGGAGGCAAAGTATTTTTATTTTTATATATTTTTTTCGCTATGATTATTAAATTATCAATCAAATAAAATTTAAATTATAAAGAATAAATTTGTATCGTAATTTAATTTTATAACAAGGATATTAATCGAAATGTTAATTAATCTGTTTAATTGAATTAGTTCATGTAATTTTCAATCACGTAAGATTTATTTAACCTAAAAATTAAGTTTATTGAGTCATATGACTATATATCATATGACTTTCAAATTGCGCAGCAAATAAATTGACTTTTTTTATTAATGATCAAGTTTTAAAATTTTAATATAATGTGTGAACTAATAATACTTCGCGAAATTAACTGATATGTAACTATTCCTGATATTCATTTCCTTTATAATTTAGCCTGTTTTCTGAATATCATCAAATATTATGATCTTTTTCATCACATGTTTTTAATATCATTTTGATTTATCTTATATAATATGATTATTTTCTAATGCTGATTTATATCACTTTGAAGTCTTTCTTATAGTTTGTAATTTTCAGGATTTGATACTTTAAGAAGATTAATTAAAGATTATTATGTATCTCATATAATTTTAAAAGAATTTTACAAATCATATAATATAGTATTTATAAATAAAACTGAATTCTTGCTTTTCTCATTACCTAACCTGCTTTGATAATATTCATAATAAATTAAGTTAAAATTCTAATCAATAATATTTGTAATATTTTCCATTACAGCAATCTATTTTTTAATAAATGATATAAAATATATTGGTAGTACTTAGTTAGTGATATATATTAATAGTATACTGGTATAATTTTTTTTTCTTTAACAATTATAACAAAACTTGTTATTTCAGATGAAATTAAATTAAATCAGCATATATAAATAAGTTATATATAGTCAGACATCTATATAATCACACTTTATATTATTACACTTCTTTATAAGTATCTATTTTTATAAAATATATTTTTATTATTAAATTATTTTTATATTTAATTATAATCATTATCACACAAAAATTTTTAATGTATAAATTACTTTATTAATAATTAGGCCTCAAGTAATTACATAATAATTTTTATTTTTATTTTAAAAGATAATCAACTTTTATTTAAAGTAAATATTTAAAACTTTTAATTATTAAATTTTATTTTATTAAAAATTAATAATTAGATCTATTGTAATATATTAAATATAGTAGATTATCAATCATAATGTAACATAAAAAAAATTTCTTTCTTTACCAATGTCTTTTCTTAGAATTAAAATAACTAAACTAATTTAACTTTTAGTCATAAATGATAAAATAAAACATCAAATATATGAATGATTTAAAGCAAATAAAAGCGGCAAAAGAAGAAAAAAGGATAATAATTATATAAAGTGATAGGTGTAAAAAATAAACTAGGCAACAGAAACTGTTATGAATCTGAAGTAAAATTAGCAAACTCCTTACTATTTGTTAAAGTTTATTAAATAAAAATTGTAATTTTTCTGATATGAACAAATTTAATAAATAGTTATACTAATTCTTATTTAAGTATTAATTTTTTTATAATTGTAATAAATATAAAAATTGTGACATTTAATAAAATTGTAATAACTTTAATAAAAGTATAATATTAACTAATGGTTGTGCCAATAGGTGTTGCAGCCTTCAATATAAGTGGGATGATGATTCATTTGACACTTTCCATCCCAATAATTAGCAATAGTAATTTTGACATAAAAGGAGAACAGCTGAAGTTGCTACAGAATAGATTGGAAAGTGTAAAATATATTATAATAGATGAGAAAAGTATGGTTGACCGCTGAATGCTTGGTCTTATTGATATGCAGCTTCAGCAAACTTTTCCTGAAAATAATAATGAATCCTTTGATAGGAGGTCAATTATTATGTTTGGAGATTTCAGTCAGCTCCTGCCTATACTTGATCTCCCGATATACACAAAAGTTTTACCAGATCTACTTTCTAACAATAGTCTTACCACATACATCCTATTTAAAGAGGTGTATAAGCTTGATGTTATTCAACGCCAATTCAGAAATTCTCAAGAGCAACAGGACTTTAGATCTCTCCTCTTAAGATTATGTGATAGAGAGTCTACTTTAGCTGACTGGAGAACTCTTACTACACGATTTGAAGGGAGATTAAATAAAACAGAATGTAGTAAATTTTCTGATGCCACGTTCATCCTAACGAAATGAGTCAACGTTAATGCAATGAATATAGACTGATTCAGGTCTTTAAATGTTCTTATTGCCAGAATTCTTGCCATACACACAGGTGACAACAAAGCTAAAAAAGCAGATTCTGAAGTTGTATATAGTCTTAAAGCACAATTGCTACTAGCAAGAGACGTACATATTATGTTAATATCAAATTTGTGAATAGAAGCTAGCTTGGTCAATGGTGCACTAGGAATCGTCTAGGATATTTTGTTCAGAGAGGATCAAGGATCACCTTTTCTTCCTATAGCAGTTTTTATTTCATTTGAAAATTATAAAAGCCTCACTATTGCTACCTTAGAAAGTATAAAAGTTATCCCAATTGCACTCATTTGACATACCTAGAAAGAGCAAATCTGGAACATTATATTCATGCTTATAAATTTCTATTCGTCTTGCATGAACTATTACTATATATAAAAGCTAGGGACTTACACTACAAAAAACTGTAATAAATCTTGGTGATAAGGAGTTTGCAGCTGGCCTTTCATTTGTAGCGATGTCTCGAGTCTGTACTATGAGAGATATTCTCTTTCAACCTTTCAATTTCGAAAGACTCTAATAAATTAAAGACTATAGAAGGTTGCAAGAAAGGAAAATCGAAGAAGAATGACTAGTTTCAATGATACCTAGAAATTGACATAAGTTGTAAGAAGCATATAATAACTTATTTCAACAATAAAACTTCATAATTTCCAAAGTTTCCCAAATTTCTAAAACTGCGTTTTTATTTTTTTAAGCAATAAATATTATATTAAAAATATCACAAAGGTATAATATATTAAAAATTATAACAAAAATAATAATAATAAAAAACAAAAATAAAGATTTTGTAAAGTGAACTTTTGCTTCAGACTCTCAACAGCTTCAGTTGCTTAATAATAATATTTAAAAAGATTCAATAAAAAATTTAATAGATAATGGTAAAAAAAATAAATTCAACAAAATGTAACAAGTAAAAAAAAAATATATAAATGTATTGTTTTTTTTTCTCTCGTACTGATCTTATTCAGACGTCACAAGCTACACAAGTTATCCTACTTAGTTTTTTGTTGATTGTTTTGATTTGATCTTACGTAATGCAATAGGACAGACAAAATTCTCACGTGACAGTGCAATTTTTCACTCTAATTCCTAAAAGTATATTGTCTTACACTTCGCTCTGAACAATAATAAAGATTCTATTCTAACTTTTAAATATTATAGAGTTAAGAAATCTTAAAACAAAATATCATATGACCTTTATAACAAAATAAATAAATTAAAGAAATTATAATAACAAAAGATTAAGAAATAACCAATCAAACAGAGGATCATGAAAAAAAACAATTAATTAGAAAATTACATGATATTAGATAAATAATTACTGAAATAATGTAATGAAATATAAATTATCTGATATAATTGTTAGACAACACAATCATATAAACACAATATAACTGAAAAATAATAAAAATCCCATAACATAATTAGAAAAAAGTATAATAATTAGAATGTAATATAATAACTAGATGTAATATAATAATTTAAATATTATACAATAATCAGAAAGTAATACAATAACTAAAATGTTATATAATAATTGAAAGAAGATAAGATAATTGAAATATAATATAGAATAAATTATAAGACCTAAAAAAACAAATAACTAAAGTTTTAAAAAGAAAAATAATTAAAGAATTTTTGAAAAAGAAAGAAAAAAAGAAGAAAACTTATAAATATACATGAATATTATACAAAAGACTCAAATAAAATAAACTAATAAAATGAGACCATGAAATGTTTATATAATTTATATTACTAAAAAGAAAATTAGTAAAATATTAAAAAAAATATATAAAATATACTTGAACACAAAAGAAAAAAGAAAATTATTATGAAAATTAAAAGAACAAAAAAGAATTGAAATAATAAAGTAGTAAAAGTAAAGGAAAATCTAAAAATAAAAAATAATGATATTATAGAAATGCATATATCAGGAAATTTTTTAGGAAATATATGTTAATAAAAAGATTATGTATTATATCTCAATAATAATCAGACTTGTCAAATAGTTTCAAAAGATGACAAATAATTAGAATTTAACTAAAATAACTAAATATCAATATTTAGCCTCATTGAGAAATTTTTAAGAAAGTATATTAATTAAGAAATTACTGATATATATCAATAATAATTAAACTTATCAATTAATCAAAAAAATCTCATATGATAAAAATCAAGAAAAATTCAAATGATAAATATTGAAAAATTTTTATTATAACTATTAACGTAAATAATATTATTTATTTTTACAGTCAGCTCTTCATAAATGCATCCTCTATAAATGCATTCTCTTTATAAATGCATCTTTTTGCTCAGTCCCAAGCTAAGACTTAATGCTAATTGCATTCCTTTTATATTCTAATGGTACAATGATTCTTTAAGTCTACTTATATAAAACTCTTTTCTATAAATACACCTACGTGATTTGTAAATTTCTGATATATAACTAAAACTTTTGATATTCTTGAAACTT